CTAGTCCCGACTGGTCCCCACTACTTCACTGCTAATTCCTTAGCTTTGTGGAAGATCAGTGGCATTTTCAATAGTGCAATATTCAGCAATAAGCATGTCTACTTATTTTTGATTCTGTAAGAATAGTTCGCCTTGATTCTCGTGGAGTTGTCAAACTTTCTGTAATAATGTCTCCCTCTTCCCGCTTCTTCTAACATTGAAAGAATTGTTAAAAAAGTTACGATGTTGAAATTTTATAGAAATGTGAAAAAAGTGCGGCACGGTTGGATGCGCAACGAAGCGAAATGTTAAATGTGCTGTGGGCAGAGACCATGGCCCAGTCAGAACATGAATGGTTCCTGATGGCAAATCAGAAACTGGATATTTACGAACGGTTTGTGCTCAATTCATGTCGAAGAGTTGCTACTTCACCATCAAAATCATTCAATAAAGCATTTATACATGCTTTTACTCTGATAACTACAATCGGTAGGTTAATAATTATTTAATAAGCAATTTCAGGTCTGTGAAGTTAGTTGAACCTTTCTAGAGGATTTTATTTCTAGCAAAAATTTTAACATATTATTCTCCGAAGTTTTGAGACTTAAAAGGCTCAAGTTGAAAGTTGAAAAATTTAGGCATTCAAGGTTTTGCTGAAGTTTGGAACTCAGAATATTCATAAATGCAATATTTTATTCTTGTCAGGAGAAAGCAACCACTAGAATCTTGATCAGTAACTGGTTTAGTCAGGGTGATCCGACGTTAACATCCTAACCTTTTTTCGGTAGGCTGAAAATAATTTGACGCATGGCATGCATTGCTATCAAACTCTGTTCAGAGTAATTGCATCATTCGGTGGTGATTATAAAGGCGAAGGCTTAATTCATTTATAAATCAGAAAAAATTTAATTTGTTTAGGATTCTTAGATGAAGAAAATTTCTCGCCAATCGGTAAAATAGCAGCTATGAATTACGCTATCATTGGCATACCGCTGGCACTTTTATACCTTGCTCAATGCTCGAAAATGTTCGCTGGTCTATTACCGGGTAACCATATACTTATCGCAGCACTTGTAGCTATTTTCGCAACAGCGATTGTTTCCGACATCCTCGAGGAGTCGAATGATGATGCGGTATATTTAAATTTTGTGAATTTTATAAATAATGAAACTGTTTCTCGCATTTTTAAGGCTACTGAAATTAGCCGCTAAAAATATTAATAACTTTTATGTTGGAATACGTATATACCACATTTGATGCTTCCAAAATGAAAAGCTAAGTATATTCATCATTTTGCAAAACACAGCATTGCTGCAATTTTCCAGGATTATCTGATGTGCAAAGTAACTTCAGCTTTAGCATCGAATTTGATTGAAAATTTTATCTTCTCAGTTTTCTTTTTTTTTTCACTTTTTTCAAAACTACTTTTGAAATTTCCAGTTTTTTACATGATTTTTTTGGTAGTTTCATTTTTATCAAGAACTATTTTCGCTTATGCTATTTCTTTCTCTACTTTTAAACGTCATTTTTTTTTCCTTTGTTTCAAATAAGACCATATGGCATCTTTTGTTCAAGGGAATTAGGATATGTCGGACGACCGTAAAGTGAAAGGAAAGGATTGAATTCATTTCAAAAAATTATAGCTTACAATGTGAATTCATACTTTTTTGTACATATTGTGATTTTATTTTTTCAGTATCTGTTCCGATATAAAACAATTAATCAACATAATTAATTCATTTTAGCCGTTCATCGATACCCTCTTCCATGTATTTCTAATGTTGTCAACAGTAGGAAGCTGCAGTACTGAGCCACCTGTCGCATTGATCCTTGTCGCCTTGTTCTCCGTTGGTCTGATATCTGTATCTTATGTATTGATCGATCGTCAAATCGAACATGCTTTGCAGGTGATATTAATGTTTGGCTCTCCATTCCTCCAGAAGTTACTAATCTTGCTTTTATTGATCAGTCATTGTTCAGTTTCAGTTAGGATTGAAAAAAAAGTTATAGTTAAATTTAAAATCTTGTCAGTGACAGCCTAACCCAGAAAAAATCTAATTTTAATTTTGTTCTTATTAATACTAGGCTTTTGCTCACTAAATTTTTTTGACTGCCATTGTAATAAGTTCACACAATTGAGACTCTAAACTAATTTTAACTAAAGAAGTAGAAGATTCATTTCCAGGGATTCGAATTGCTGTTTAGCAAGTATTTTGGTATACTTCGTCGTTCGATGTGTAGTAAAGATGAAGTTGAGGAGAATAAGATAATTGAGGAGGAAGAAGAGACCGAATCCGATACATAGTTAATTTGTATTTAGTTAATTTTTGAATCCCGCAGTATTGGATAAACCAGAAAGTGATATTTCACTTTGTTTCAGCAGTGCTGGTAGCAATCATCAAAATTACTATCCAAAATGAAAAGGTCTAGGTTTGCTTATTGCTTTATTTCAAAACTGAAATATATTCAAGTTTTGTAACTTTATCCATAATGAACTGATACTAATACAATCTTTTGTATCATGCTCTATCTTGGCAGCATTTTACATCAATATTTCGACTTACATTAGTCACCTTCCTAATTTTCAAGAAAAGTGATTTAGAAAGAAGTTGCAAATCTTTCATCTTCGAGAGATTGAAACCAGATTTTAATGAATTATTAAGCTTTGAAAAAATGAATTACTACATATGAAAAAAGTAAAAAAGATTCACGCTACTTTTCTATTAAAAGTTTATTCTGTTCTCATTTTCTCTACAATACTTGCAAGTCTTAGTTTTACGTATTGCTTTATTTCAAAACTATATTCAAGTTTTGTAACTTTATCCACAATGAACCGATACTAATACGATGTTTTGCTATATATTTAATGGTAGTTAATGAAATGAATTAAAATTTTTTTAATTTCTTGAGTTTTATGCGGAATTAGTAACTGTTACTATAACTGTTGCTGGTTTGTTAATGTTCACAAATAGTTACTAAGAGGACTTTTTTTTCCCATCCAATTTTCTGAATATATATATTATAAATAAAAATTGGTTCACATGGTGCTAGCAAGCACGAAATAATGGTGGTACATCATATAAATAAGTTCATTTGTGAACTTAAACATTTTTAACCATGATAATGAAGTTTCTAAAGACTTTTGGAAGACTGCAACTTTCCTTCTAATTCCATCAGAAGTTTAATGACAGAATTCAATTCCTTAAAGGGAAATATGTTTGCTGAATTTACTAGTGTATTGTGCATGGATTGATTGGAATCTTCCAGATCGCTAAATTTCCCCATCTATAGTTGACAGAAGGAATCAGAAGAAACTATTTTATATAACTGGATAAAACAAGTTCATTTTTGAAACAAATTTAGCAGTAAAAGGAGAGCCGTTATAATGAAATCGTTGACATTAAAATAGTTCATTTTAATACAATCATGACTGAATGCTATATTTCATTTATCAAACTAAATTTTCTCTCTCTTTTTGAATGAATTACATATCACTTTGTCAAGATCAGAGAGTTTAAAAATGTACCGCATGGGAATAAGGTTTTTTTTTAAATTTTAAAACGTTTTGGATTTGAAAAAAAGCAAAGGAAGGAGAAAGTTTTTTGAATGAACAAACCCTTCATTGTTTGTTGCGGAAAGCCAGTATACCAACATAAATGTGTTTTTTATTTAAAATAATATTGGAATCTCTTAAATTAATTTCTCTTGGGACCGGATTAATGGGAAATTTTTACATCGTTTAAAGCATCAATGACTGTCAAATATAAGTAGGAAATAACATTGAAGTGGTGAAGTGTATACATGAGATTATATTGAGCAACATTAAACACATCAATGTTATCACATTCATGATAGCAGCAGTAGTAGTAACCTACGGAAAGAGAATCGAATAATCTGGAAGAAAATTGGAGTGGAAGCATCTGTATATTAAAAGATTGCTTCTTTATTACATCCAAAATTTAATAGGACTTTTCAATTAATAATATTTGTTATTAATAAACACGTAAAGCTAGGAGGTGTTCGAGACTGCACTATAATTTTTCAATCTTCAACGTTATCTTGTTCATCGTAACAAATATTACTTTTAAAATTTTCGTAATACTCCAAACCAATGTTCTGCAATTTTTAAGAAGATAAATATCGTTGCATTATTTGTGATTTTCCCACTCTTTTTTTCCACCTAATAGTCATTCTTGTTATTAACACATTCCTTTTTGCAGTGCAGGAAGTTACTATGTAACTGACCTCTGACAAAGAATGTTTTCGTCCGATTTTAATAGTCAATCATAAATGATTGTGCTTTTGCAGAAATTGAAATGGCTTAGAATACTTCATCTAACTCTCACCCTATCTAAAAAAATCTAATTCTCACCCTAAACTTTAAATGTTTTCTTAGTTGTTATAGCTTGGCTTATCACAGTGGCTAAGAAAATGGTTTTCTCGCTCAATACAGTTCAGTCCATTAAAAAATTTTTATCTTATTTTGAGAATTATGTATTTATTCACTTTTACAACATTCTGAGGTATTGAACTGATAAATTCGCAGTTACTAATTTTAAAATTTCAAACCATTGAATCCTTACTTTTAAAATACTAGTGTAAACATACTAAAACGAATTATGTAACTTTGAAGAATTCGGAAGGAATAGCTGTCCATTCAGTTCTAAGACAATGATTATGAAAACGAAGATTAATATAATTTCTGAAAGTCTCGTGTCAAAATTTCCATTCTTAGTTTTTAGAAAGTACTAATGAACTAACTTAGCTCATTACAAATAATTTATTTAGTAATTGTGATATCCCTAAATTCTTTTTTCATTTCGAAAACATTCTTGGCATTTTAAATTTGAAATGATGTTGCTTGTTGGCACAAAAACTTAGGAGCTATATTGTATTAAGCAGGGATTCTCAACTCTCTGGTAAATCTGAAGAATGTATGATTGGAAAAAGTGATGAGAAAGCGTGAAACGTGTTCAAATTATTACCAGCAAAAAGAAGGATGATGCTATTGTATAAGTATGTTATGTTGTAGCTCGAATTCGACTTAGTAACGATTCTCGAACAACATCGTATAAATAGCGCTGTCGTTTTGACTCGAGATCCAATTCTGTTTGATCATCCTTTTCTGATTTTGAACAGGACGTTAGCCGTGTTGATTTTACTTCACGCAACAATTTGATAAATAAAAAACACCGCCTTTTTGTGTTGATTTGTGATGGATCTTGAAACTTCCCTTTTCTGAAAAGGTAATATTGCTGTGAAGAATTATATAAAATTCTAGTATAATGGTGACTGTTTAAAAAAAGAAATGGGCAGAGCGAAATCTAGATTTGCATGTGGTGGAAAATAATCCACGCAAATTTCATTATTCCAAGGTACGGAATTGTCGTACATCAGCAAGCATTAAGTGACATCGAATTTGATTAGAGTTTTGTTCAAATTTTTTAGTGTGTTTTTCAATAACAAGTTTAAGGTGCGTTTTCTCAGTGAGCTAATATTGCATTGTTTCATTCAGAGAGATATGCATTTATTTCCTCTTCTTTCCCTCAAAATGAGGAGTGCGACGAAGTTTGGCAACGGTTTAGAAGGTAAAAGTTTTAACTGATTGATTGAAATTTTGAACACTGAATACCTGTTTCCATTAGACTGATCATTTACTACTACCACGTGTCACGTCGTATTTTAAAATTAAAGTCCTCAGTTTTAACAAATATTCTTCAATATTTCAAAGACAGCTGCACTTCAACTCCCAAATCAAATCGCGGGAAATTGTAAGTCAAATATCATTTATTTCTAATAGCTTATTTTTCTCAGGTAAAAAGAAGTTTTCTCTTACAATATATCTTATTTAATGTACCCTTAATGGACAAAGTTCAGTAAATATGGCTCTTTTTATGTGCCGAAATTTTCCAAGAACAAAAGGGTATGAAGAAATATTTCGTTATTGTTGTTGTTATCGCTTTTTAGAAGTTTTGCCGCATTCGGTCATTTCTAAAAATGACCCACACTTTTGTTTTCTTCCACTGTTGTAAAACATAATTTGTAGACAATTTATAGCTCCTTTTTTCCTCACTATTTACCCCACCTCTTTATCTTTCCAATCCTTTATGAAATTATCGCAAAAAAAAAAAAAAAAAAAAAAAATCAATGAACTCAAATTAAAGTTTTTTCATGAACCGAATTATCACCTTTTTTAATGTATTTTCTCGTCAAAGTATTATGATATTGTTCTCAATTTAATTTAAAGAAAATGATTTGAAGAAAAACCTGTTAAACCCAAGAAATAAATTTTGTTTCCATGCGGATTGAAACATTGTATATCCAGAGGACGTTAGTTGTTCACGGAAAAGACATTTGTCATCCATTCCGTCACTCTGAAAAATTCATCGGATACTTTGTTGCAAGAAATTGAATTCTTTGAATTCTGTTATAATGTATCTTTCCGAATATGTTTATGATCATGACAGTACTACTAAAAAAATTTTTTTTTGGATTTGTGGTTACCTATATATCTGAATATGGTTGACCTGAATTCCGTGTTAGAGTATCTTATATGAGGAAGACATTAAATAATAGTAGCAATATTTTATCACTTATTTTTTCATGCGATTTTGGTTTGCGGAATTTGAAAGTGGTCAAATTTTCTCTTTTTCTTTTTATTTTTTGGCATTTAATATTTCTGGTGGTGATAGCGATATAATGTTACCTCCGATAAAGTGTAACAAAAGACAGAAGCAGAATAAAATTTTCCCAATACAATACTAATTTTCCCAATGTAATAATGCTAGAAATATCCCAGAAAAAAAAAGCTACTTTCATTAAACAATAACAGTGGAAATGCGAAGATCACTTCAATAGGCAGCGATGACAAATCGTTTTTTTTTTTTGATTTCCAGCAAAAACTTCTGAATTGACTTTCATGATATTTTCATAGAATGAAAATTATGGTACCAAATGCTTTCTTGATTATAAAATTTAAAAAATATTTTGGTGTTGTATAGTAAATTAATTCCTTTCGTCTTACTGGAACATCCTTTCAGCATTTTTGTCTTTATTGAAAACCAATTTTTCAAAAGATCAAAATGTTATAATACCATTTCTCTCTTTAAACTAATGGTTGATTCACAAGCTACCTACAGGCACATTATTTGACTTTTTGTGAAAAAAAAAGACCAAAACAATTCGGCAAAATGAGGTGTAACATCTGAAGTCGAGACAAAGAATGAAGATTGATTTTCGGCATATTTCCTAGCCTGGCGTACTCCGAAGGGCATATGAAACTTTTCATATAATTTGCATTCAAACAAAATAATTTTGATTTCAAATCAAGTCTAAAGATTTTATTTCATTGCATGAAGGTTATTTGAATTATTAAATACTTACTCTAATTGCAAGCCTTTGTCGCTTATTAAAACATATAAATTTGCCAGTAAGAGCATTTTCTATCCGAATGCGTCCTTCATTATCTGCGTGCATTAACAAATCGGCTAAAAAATTACAACCATTCCAATTTAACTTATTCACTAAAATTGAAAAATGCAGCACTTTTCAAGAATTGAAAATTGATTTGATCAGTTATTAGCTGCGATCGAAAAGGTCTTTAAATATCAAACAACAAACTTAAACAATGATTAAATTGTTGCCCTCTTGCATTAGCATGTTTCAGGAAAATCTGTACAAAAGCAGAACTGCATCGACTGTAAAGCTGCCAAACGGTGATTGCTTCACCGATCGGCATCAGGCTCGCCATTTGAGTGATTGTCAGTAATCTAAAATTCAATAAGCCGTCATAAACAATAAAAACTAGATTTTTCTTCACCAGCAGTTTCGTCATTGTATTAAAAAGATTTTCTGAAGTTAACCAATTTTAAAATGAATCTCTAATGAGTGAGAACTAATAATTTTTTTTCCATTTTTGATATGAGCAAAACATCAACAAGATGTCATATACTTTCATTCAAATTGGCTCTGCATCTTGAAATGTTAGTCTACTGAAATGAATCCTAGAACGATTTCATTCATGATCTATATTTTGGATTCATATAATTAGTATAATTAGAATGTGGAAAAGTAAAAAGCTTCAGATCCTGAAGAACTACCAGAGAAGCTAAAGACTCCGTGAGGGGTCATATCTTGTATGATATCAACATATCTAATTTTTGAAACCTATCGAATTTCTACTAAGCTGAAAAAAATTAGAAATTTAAGTGCCTTGTAATGTGCAGTTAATTGGTTCGAAATTTTCAGAATTATTTTAGAATTGTTCTTCTTGGCAACACTTTTTGTGTATTTTGCAATGTTTTTTGATTTGCTGTTCTATCGATGCATTTTCCCGGAGGATGGAGAAATGGCAAAAACATAGTTGCAGAAGTAAATTTTTCTTCGATGTTTTGCAAAGAGTAATAAATTTTGTAAAAATTTGGTAAATACGTGATTTTTGCAATTAAAAAACACTTTAACGTTTCACCAGGATTCAAACTAAATTCGAATTTGTGAAACCTTGGAACTATTTATTTTGCACATTTTGATTCTGGCATGGAATCTTAATGCTAGCGAATTGATTCGTATGAGAAACAAAAAAATACTTAAAGAATCCACGTTTCGCCCATATACCTATAGGGCATTAATTAAAACAATTTATTACTCCGGGTTCTTTTTTAATATTCAAAATAAAACTCAAATTAAACAGGCAAATAAGTGTTGCCATCTTTGGAGTGTCTGGTCCTTCAAGATTGTCCATTTAACAGGAATGTTTAGTAAATGATACAAATTAATGCTACTGATCAGATTATTAATTTTAAGTGATCGGGATGAAATGCTATTTGATTACAACGCTCTAGAAGATTACTCCACTTAATCCTTTCCTCTTCACTTCTTTTTGCATCGAATGTTTTCATCTATTTATGTGTCCCATTAATATCTTTCGTCTTTCGCACAAACAAACAGATGTACACATTATGATGATAGATACCGTAAGCCGGTGGGAAGGCCATAAGCTGTGAAAATGAAGTGTCATCGCTAAGATATACAGTTACATATATTTCCGACAGTTGGAGCCAACGGTATCATGACACAAATTTGAAATGTAATAAATGATTTTAAAATCTTGAAATTATTAAAATAACAGCAACACACTGTAACTAATGAGTGAAATGTTTCGACTGTCTGTTCGCATGGTCAATTTTATCATGGTGAAAGAGGGCCATTGGCAAGTTGTATATATGCTGTTTCTTAAATTTTCTATACAATATTAGTCAGTGACCATTACATATGTTTCAAAGGTTTTCTGGACTTTAAAGACTCTAATAATCCAAATTCTTTTCCATTCTACAATGGTAATTTGAAAATTAGAAAACATGGAAGTATAGATGAAGCAACTTTAATCTGGAACAATTTTGATTTTCTAATGGCACGCGATCTAATACTGTCACAACAAGAATTAGTCCATATCAAGTTGGAATCAAGTGATCTATAATTGCTCTCAAAAATGTAAAAATGAATTTTTCGAGCTTTATAAGTATTAACATACGAAAGCGTTCAAAAAAGCCGTGGTAAAAAAAAGTTGAAATAAATCAAAAATGGGAAGAAAAATAAAACTATATGAATACAAAAAAATTTATTTTTAAGGGCGGCATTTGAACTAAAAATTACTTCAAACCAGTAAAAAGTTTGCCGAAAAAACTTTAGCACACGCATTCAAGTTTTATCATTCAAGATATTTTAACATGGAACTTTCGGTTAAAATGATTATTGGGGCAATGAAGGAAGTCATCAGAATTGAAACTGGAATTTCAAGTAAACCAGAAACAAAATGCAATTATATGGATTTCACTTTTCCTGTATCATTTCGTCATATAACTTTTTCAGATCAAAAATTTTTAATTTTAAGTTTTATTTTCCTATAGATTACTAAATTTTAGTCTAAAACGAGGATAAATTATTCGTAAGTTACCTGACAAGATTTAGCAAGACGCAGTAAAAGTAATTGAAATACTTGGTTTGTCTCACATAACGCATCGGCATCACTCATTACGTACAACCACCACAACAATAATGTGCCTTTTTGTGGCTAGTGCTCGATTCTCTTGAAAATAACAAAAACATTTCCAAAAATTCAATGGTAATCAGAATGTAATCTAACTCACTTCTTGATTTCTTACCGTATTTAGTTTTCGTTCTTTATTTCAAGCTTCGTAATACAGTGAGTCCTGCTGCTGCTTATTTTGTTACATGAGCGAGCGACATGACACTAAATGGATCTGCTCAGTATTTTTCCAAAACAATCATTGAGATTGCTAGAAGAGTCATTTTCGGATCGGGTGACAATAAATTTGCAAAAAATATTCCGTTTTCGTCTTTTCTGCTTACTTCTTATGTGAATCATAAATAGCGAAAGATCTTAGCAACACTATTTTTGCATTTATTGTTAAAAAAAAAAAAAAAAAAACTTATACAATGTCTTTGAACCGTTTTAGCTGGTTTAATGCAAAAGATTAGAGTGAGCTAGCGGCTTGTCATTTGCAAATTAATTTACATAAACTGTTAGAGCTCTTTCATAACATTTACAAAAACAAATTGTAAGGTTAGGGTGGAATAAAATGAGTCTTGAAATTTAATAACTCTTGATAGAATAAAAATATCGATTGAACCTGATAACTACGTGGGAAACAAAAAGAACAAAGGGACAAATTAATACGAACGCTTTAGAAAATCGCTTGCATATCTTTGAATATTTTGAAGCATATTTTGAAATTCATAAAACATTCATACCTGTGCTTGAGTTATGTATTTGTCCTTCCTTTAAGTTAACTTTCACTACTTATAAATTTTTTCAGATACATTCTCTTTTAGAAATAACATGTGCTCCACATTGAAACAGTAAAATATCGAGTGGAATGGTCAACAAACACGTCACTGATTAGCAAATAATGTCTTATTCTATCCGCTATTATATAAAATCTCGGAAAATTCTGAACGATGAAGTACCAACAAAATTTCAGAATGGAAGTATTGCAGCAAAAAAAAAAAAAAAAAAAAGAAAATTTCGATATGAAATCTCGAGGAAATCCGTGTTCCAATTAAATTATGGTAAAACAGATTAAGGAAGTAGCAATTTTTTTTTCTGACTCACTGCAAATAAGGATTTCTTCTTCTGAAACAAATCGAATAGTTTTCTTTTCACATCATTCTGTGCAATGAAACAGCATTCTATTATTCTAAAACACTAAAATCAAGCATATGGATACGCAGATGAACACAAGCTAAATGGAAACATGGACAAGTGTGTGCAACTAAAAACTCCATATGACAATGTTTTACTTGTTGAAGGAAATATGTTCTAGACAAATGATAGTTTTTGTTAATGATAGCTGTTAACAATCACTTTGAAAAAGACATCTATAAAAATAACAAATATATCGAATTTCATAAGCATTTAGTTTAATTTAGCATCGATAAAGATAATAATGCTTTATTTCCAGATTGACATACAATTTAAACTGCAAGAAAACTACTAAATATTTTATAGACAGAAATTCTAAGAACTAAACATTTTGCGAATGCTTCAGGGTGTTTTTTTCCATTGTGTATGGTGGAAATTTGTTGCTAGTTAAAGATTTCAGGAAAATAATCATTTTTAGCAGCGTTTATAAATAGTTTTTTGGAAAGAATTGAAGTATTTGGTGGTCATCGCTTATGATTTCGAAAGTTCAATTCACGGTTTAACAATAATAGCTCTGATTTCCAAGAAATTTTGCATCACATAACACGGAAGCACGACAAATGTATTACTGTCACAATGAAATTTAGTAAATGAACAAGAAATGCTTAATTATGAATATTTATACAAAGTAGTACGGTGTTTAACCAGTATTAGTGTGATTTATGGAAATTAGTGGACAATTAATAAATGTTATCGCAAATAATAAGAGTAACAATAAGACAGGCGCCAATCCATGTCTAAACAATTTAGCTGGACAGGTAATGGAGGAAATAAATACCACTGCTTGCAGTGATACGCAAAAAAATTTACGTACCTTTATTAGCATCCATAAATCAGCCTCCTATAACAATTAGCAGTGATGTTGCGAACAGACTGTGTGTGTATGTATGTCCGCATGTTTGCATGTGTATGTGTCTGTATTTGATAGCTGACGGAAGAGAGCATAACCAGAGGAGGGGTTCGTCGAGGTGCAGAAGTTCGGATGATGGGTTTTGAAAGGATTAGTACCTGTATTCGGCGCACCATTGAATTAGAAGTTTAAAGGGTGGGGAGCTTGGGATGACAGGATGAAAAAAGGGAAAGACTCACTTCATTTCTTTACATTTAAATAGGATCGAACGGATAAGTGAGACTGCTTTTATTCGACGAATTTTAGCAGTTTTTGCATAAAACTTTCCAAAAAAGAAAACGAATTAGATACTCTCTCAAGAGATGACTCTTGGTTATCATTGTTAAAAAGCATTCTTTATTCAACACAAAAATAATTTCTCAGAACTAATAAAGGCATAGTGACTACCTCGTAAAATGTATGCATCATACACACAAAACGTGGAAAATCCTTTTCAACAAGTGTTTATTCAGAAATTCAGCGAACTTGTTTCTGGAATTTTGGTAGGACCTGATATGAAATATCTCAAGTGGATTACCAACAGATAAGATACTAATCCACAAAAGTAATTTTTTTGTAAGCGGCTATGTACATTATCACTCCTTGGTAATACATGTTGCTAAGTGATGAATATGAGTTA